AATCTCAGATGGGTTTGCATTCGTCTGAATTCTGTCATTGCTTCAGATCTTCTAAATTGCTGTGTCAAGGAATCATGTTTCTTCTCAGCTTCTTGAGTTTTCTCTTCTACTTCTGATACCTTGGTTGCCATATCTTGTATGACCTTGTTGGCTCCTTCTACTTCTTGCTTGATAGATGTTATTTCTGTCTTTACTAGCTCTTTTATTGCGGTAATGTTTTTTTCTTGGGCCTCTTCTAATTGCTTTAAATGTATTTGCATTTGCTTCTCCATTTGCTTCTCCAGATGCTGTTCTATCTGAGTTCCCATCGCCTGAATCGCCTCAGTCATTCTCTTTTCCATAGCTTCCATTGCAGCCTGCATCTCCTTCTTTTCCTTTGATGACATCTTAGGTGTAGAGGTTGAGGCTGCTCTGGGACTTGCTGCTGCGGCTACAGACGCTTCTGAGCCTGTTCTTGTTCTTCTGGTCTCCGTTTTGGCGAATTACACTTTTTTCACTTAAAAAAAAACATTTCGGTTATAATGTCCAAAACCTTACATGCGCACAGGCTGTTCACCTTCTTTTCGTTTAGCTCAGATAGTTTTAAAACCTTTAAAAAAGCAATTTAGTTTCGGGTCCTCCACAAAATGTCGGGCGCAACTTCTATGTGGTTTTTTCGGGAAGAGTAGGTCGATTTCACTGTTCCGGGACCCGTCTGTGCGCTTGCGCTTACATCCGGTCCCTCACTTGTCTTCCTCCGACTTCTTCCGGTTGATCCAAACCTCTCTAGGAGTGGTATTACTGGTTGTCTGCCGTCGGAGGAAATTTGTTGGTACACCGTCCCTTTTCTTCCCGCGATACTTCTCGTCAGTTTCATTTTTCTTATCTCTAGCTAGCCGCAAGAATGTTCAACAATAGCGCTTTTCCCATTTTTCAAGCCTTTAAATCAAATCGGTTTTTTTCCGGAATTAGTCTCTGGGTTCGTCTACTCGTTATCCGCTCAACCACTCAGTTCAAATCATGTTAGAATCAAAATCAGGAAAGCGGGGCGTTTAATTGTTATCTCGTGCGTCTATACTGGGATTGCATTGCTTCTTTTAGTTCACTCACTTTTCCCCTTGCTGAAGAAATCGGCTGATGACGGATTTATGCTGGTAAACCAACTCGGAACGGCTCCTTTAGTGTTTACAGTGTGATCCTGTGCATGCTTACGCAGAAGTAAGCCTTTCTTTGCTCAGGGGTTCTTACGCATTAGTCATCTTGGATGCTAAGATTATTATCTGTACAGAGTTTTGGAAGGTGGTGGAATATGTTAGGGCCTTTTTAGAAGTGGCGCTGAGACGGTGGGGTGCCTTACCCTGTACTGCATTCCTGACCAGGAGAATCGCGGGAGTGCTCTAATTCGCCATCTTGGCACGACCGGAAGCCAAGGGAGGGTGCTTTTTGCTTGTTAGCGTCATCTCGTTACCGACTCATACTCCCAACCTTCATACACTGGAAAGTCAAACCCTCAGAAACACAGCAGAATGACATTTCTGTTTCCTATCTGCAGGGCCGGATTCAGGGTTTTTTTTGTACACTAGGCAAGGCTACCTTCTGCTCCCCCCCCCGGTGCGCCCACCAATTACAGGGCTGCCAACCTCCAGGCAGGGCCTGGAGAGAAGGAAGGCTTTCCTCCATGAATCGCTCTGATCCTGACAGGGGAGATGAGACCAGAGAGAGGCAGTGTGGAGAGAAATCCCAGAGCGAAAACGGCCCCCCCCGGTCACACAAACCCCTCAGCAGAAAGAGAGATTTTCTCTTTCTTTCTTTCTTGCTCACTCTCACTATCTCTCTCTCCCTTTCTCTCTCTCTTTCTTTCCCAGCAAAGAAAATATTAACAGAAAATATTTTTTTAAGAATTCTCCCAAGAGGAGAGGGAAAAATAACAAAAGTTCTTAAAGGTGACCCCCCCGTGCGCGCGCCGCCTTAGATCCGAAGGCAGCTTGAAAGGCGCCGATCCGGAGCCCCGGATGCCTGCGGCAAACCCTCCTGAGGGTTCGGACTCCCCGGGTGTCCTCCGCGAAGCCAGCCAGTGGGCCAGCCGTGGGCCGAAGGAGACAAGGCAACACTGTGGGGCCTGCAGCGAGCCAGAGCCTTGGCGGGTTGACCGTCCTGGGCGCACTCCCCGGTGGGTTCCTCAGGTGGGCAGTTCACTGACTGCACGGCCCCAGTTGTTGGCCTCCTTTGTGGAATTGCCTGGAAACTGGGTGGTGGTGGTGGGTTGCGCCTTTGGGGCCCAGCTCAGGTGTGCCGGGGGGGGCGGCGGCCTGGGATGGAGGGGCCGGCCTTCCTGGGCTGCTCCAGATGTCCCTCCTCATCTCCTCCTCAACATTCCACCGCACCAGCCGCTCAAGAGACGGCGTGGTGACAAAGTTTCTAGAATGTGCCTCCAGCCTCCTCCCCCTCCACCCAATAAATCGATCCGCATCTCCCCCCCCCCCCCCCCCACCGGCTCCCGGTCGGAGCCACGTGGCCAGCCCATCTCCCCTCCGGATTGCTGGAGCAGCCCTGTATGGAGAGGCCTGCCCCGGGCCAGCAAGGCGTGGCCGCTCTGCCCTCTCTTCTGCAGGGTGGAGCGGTGGAATCCCCGGGAGGCCTGGGCAGGGACCGTGGCCAGAGGGGGAGAGAAGTGGCAGTGGTGGTGGCAGTGTGTGGGGGGGTGTCTTCTGGCCGGTGGGGAGGCAGCCGCACTCCAGCCGGGCGCCACAGGGTTAAGGGCATCTTTGGTTTACGAGTGGCCCCGCCAGCTCGGGCAGCGACGGCTTCACTGTCTGTCTGTCTCCCCCCCCCCTCGGGCGCACATCCCTCTCTCCCTCTGGGGGCATGAGGCGAAGCAAGCTGGTGGGAAGGGGTGCGCTGTGGAGTGGGTGCCCAGAAAGCCATGCTGGGGGCGGGCGACGGCAGCAGGGGCCTTGCTGCGCCCCTAGGAGCTCTGCGCCCTAGGCCGTAGCCCTAGTTGGTCTAGTGGAAGAGCCAGCCCTGCCTATTTGACAGCACAATGCCAAATGAAGGGGTCAGTAGGGGTCAATCTTCAGAGGTCACCATGACTTCCAGGTGCACACACACATTCACATTCACACGCACACACACAAGCACATATGAAAAATACAAACCCCCTCCCCAAATCAACTTTGTTGGTCTTCAAGGTACCACTGGACTCAAACTTTGTTCAGTTGCTATCCAGAGTGAGCGGCCATCTGAGTATACATCTCCCCTCTTCATTCTATCCAGACCGTCACCTGAGACCTTCCTACACCTATATTAGGAGGTTCTAAATGCCTGGACCCACCCCCTTCCCCTGTCTATGAGTATTTCCCCCTGATGGATAGGTTAGGTTCTGCCTCTCCTTAAGAGCAGCCAAGGGAAGCTGACAGAATGTTGGTGATGGTTGAAAACAGCAGTTAATGACGCTCAGGTTGAGAGTGAGCCCAGCTAAGTCGAGGTGTGGAGAAGAGCAATTTAAAGCTGAATGGAAACGGTCGACTTGTAATGAACAATCCCAATTGCTCCAAACCAAGGAACAGAACAAGCTCACAAAGTAAGAAACAGAGCAAGGTCCATACCACTCCCCACGCCTTCGTGGTCCAACGTCATGCGCTGGTCACTGCTGAACTCTATTTCTTCTACAGGCGCTCCCCCAGTCAGAACTGTTGTCTCAGGGATTGGTACAAACACTTCGGCCAACAAGTTCACGCCGCCATGACCAACCATTTCATATATCTGTGGCGAGGAGTAAAAGCATCATTCCAGACACTGCAGGGCGTTAAAAACCTCAGAGTGAATTTACATAACATTTCTTACTTATTTTGCTTAATACAGCAAGGAAAACTGGCGTGTTCCTGGATCGGACTGCATTAGCAAAAGCCACAACTGCAAGAAGGCATCTGACTCCAATGGTAACAAGAGTACTGACAAAAACAGAAGCACAGCGTACGTGACAAATCCATGTCAGTGCATTTAACTTACTGTGAACAGATTAACTAAAAGAAAAAGAAAAAGGTTTACTTGCTACAGCTCCGAGCCCAGGCAAGAGTGAGAAGACGTGAGGTCCCACAGGAGACCAGCAAGGGCCAAAGAGACTCAGCATCTAGCCAATGTGGAGGGGGCCCCTAATGCCAAATGTACCCAAGTGAGAGAATTCCCTTTCCCCTCCAGATCCTCTTGCATACAGAGTTCCAATAGCCAGCAGAGTGTTGGGCAGAGACGGCACTCTACCTCTAAGCTGGAAGGTCTCTAGGAGGCAGAGGGACAATCCACCGTCCGTTCAGAACCCAACTACTGGAGAACTGAAGCATTTGGCTCGTGGGCTCCAGACATAAAAGCAGAGGACAGCCTCACCTTGTTGGGGCCTCCCTTAAAAGAAAATCAGCAACAAGCAGTTTGAGCTTTTCTTTCAACCAGAGCACAAAAAGCACACATATGAGGGTATGAAAAACTTTCTTGGTAAGGTGGGCTCCAACCACCACAGAGCACCTAGTCTTTAACCCATGTTCAGAGCCATACAAGTACACAGAGAGGTAATACAAAGAGCCTCTGCGGCTGTTTATGTCCTGTTGCAAACACTTTAGAGCCAGTTTGGTGTAGTGGTTAAGTGTGCAGACTCTAATCTGGGAGAACCGGGTTTGATTCCCCCACTCCTCCACTTGCACCTGCTGGGCAAGCCATAGTTCCGGCACAGCTGTTCCTGAAAGAGCAGTTTCTGTCAGAGCTCTCTCAGCCCCACCGACCTCCCAGGGTGTCTGTTGTGGGGAGGGGGAGGGAAAGGAGTTTGTAAGCCGCTCTGAGACTCCCTTGGGTAGTGAAGGGCCATGGGGTATAAATCCAATCTCTTCTTTTTCTTTATGGTGCTACTCAATTGCTCAGGCCCAAGTGTTATCATCCATGTCTGGACAGTGTCGCTTCAGACAGCAAGCAGAGGTTTCACATTCTGAATCCTCCTACATCTCATATCCCCTCCACAGGGAAAACAAGATGTTAGGGGGGAAAGGTTCACGCTGTAGCCTGTCATGTTGATTTCCCGTGCAGGGACAGATGCCTTTGCATGGAGAAGCGTTCCATCCTTTAAGTCCCGCATGAAGTTTAAAGTGTTGCAGTCCAGGTACAGGTTCACTATCTGTGAGAGAACCAGAACTCCCCCTCTGGGTGGCCCAGGGGCCTGTCCCACATACAGCGGTGTTTCCCAACCTGTGGGTCAGGACCCTAAAGTGGGGTTGCGAAGCCTCTGAAACTGGGCCGCAAGCCAACCCTCCCAAATGGCTGCCCCTGCCCTTGCTCTCGGCTGTATTTTGGAAACCAAGATCTCGCCCTGGAAACTGTATCTTACGTGTCATACTTTAGTTGATATTTTTGTTCACTGCATACACACACACACACACACACACAGAGCGAAATGTGTCCTGATGGTTACCACAGTGAGTTTCTTAGACTCTTAGGGGAGGTTAGAGGGAGTCGTGGAGAAGGAGGGGGTGGTCAAAGGCTGGAATGTGACCTCCATATGGAAAGGCTGCACATGCCTGAATGCCACTTGTTTGGGGATCATAATAGCTGATATGATGTGATAGAGGTCCTACACTGTAGCATCGGACAAAGGAGGAAGATGGAAAGCCGATCTGGATTCCAGTAACACAAGCATGTTCCAGACAGGCGAAGAGCGGCTAACATCTCCGAGGGTCACAGTGAGCTTGAGTGTCCCACAGAGAAATCAAACCCCTGTGGTGGGCCTGCTCACAGCCTGATGATGTTTGGTCGTGCCAGTAAAAAAAGAAACACAACCTACCTGCAATTTCAAACTCTCTGGCCAGTTGAATATTTGCAAGTTGAAAATCTGTCCAAAGTGAATCCTGAAGTCCAAGCTTATTTGCCGGGAAATGGTCCTCGACACCTCTTTGGAGTTGAAAAGGACTTTTAGAAACAAAGATCGTCTCTTCACATCCTCACGTCTTGAAATTTCAGCCCTGCAAAACAGGTCGAGATCCATCTGTGCTTAAAAAAAATGAGTGCATTCACCCACAATTGAAAGTGATCCTAAAGAACAAATGGAGTGTCCTGCATTCACACCCCATTCCCCCATCAGAACAGATGCAAATTATTATATACACCAATAATTTAGCAAATGAGTCACAGAGCTCAGATGAGGGGTTCCAGACAAATTCCATGAGACCTTATAGTCTAGCTCCCCTTTTGCTATCTAGAAAAGCAACCCTGAACGGTACTGAGCAGATGCGATGCGGGTGGCGGAGGCGGTGGGAGAACTTTCCTTTCCTTGTCATCCACCCTCCCCAGGCCTTCAAACTGGCCGTAGACCATGCTTGTCTGCATCTGTCACGTGCTTTTCTCTCCCTCCATGGGTCATCACACACTACACAAGTGTCCGGAAATTTTGAAACTTGAAAAAAAAACCCGTTTTTTTTCCCAGAAAAAACAGAAATTTTCGGAAAAATTGGAAAAAATGCTACATTAGCACTTCTTTTTTCTTTTCCAGATTGAAAGTCATTCTGTGACTTTAGGAACATAAAATATGACTACGGACATTTTTACTTGGCATGAAATTATCACAACTAGCCTATTAAAAATATAGTGTATCCAAACAATGATTACAAACAGAATACCCACCCACATGCAAAACCAAAACTGAAGCCTTTTTCTTTTCTTGTGACAACAGCACCTCCTAAAGGAAGAACTGCATCTTGTTCTTGCATCGGAGAGTTCAGTTTGTAACCTAGGACTTGCTCATCTTCAGTGCACAGAAATTAGATCAATCTGATACCATACGTATTTTTTAGAAATGATTTGGAAAATATTTGAACACCTTGTCTTTAAATATTTTATTCGTCATGTTAAAATAAAATGTTCCATAATCAATTTTTTTCTTTTCTTTTTTCAATTTTTCCAGTTTTTCGGGGGGAAAAAAAAGAAAAAAGGCTTCAGGAAAAAAACGGGAAAAAATTGTTTTCCCCCAAATTTTTCTGGGTTTTTTCCCGGGCCTTCACATCTCTAGGGAAGGCCAAAAGTGGCTGGGAAACTCTGCCCTGTTTACATGCTCAGAGACAGGTTTTATTAGTGTTCCACCAGCCACTGGTAAACGTGGTAGACTGGATTTAGTTTGGGGTGGTGGCACCAAAGAAACAAATGTTCACACACACCAACCCAGAGTGGGTTTGTGACACAGCCTCATCCTGTACAGTGCCCTGACCTAGCTGACGCAGACTAGCCCAATCTCATCAGGTCTCTGAAGATCTCTGAAGCTAAGGAGGCTCAAACCTGGATGGGAGACCACCAAGGAAGTCCAGGGTTGCTACGCAGAGGCAGGTAGAAGACCACCTCTGAACGTCTCTTGCCTTGAAAGCCCTACGGGGTGGCCATAACTTGGCTGTCACTTGATGGCACTTTTCCACCACCGGTCCTTTGATACACTCTTTAGATGCAAAATCTAAGACAGGAGCTCTTAGAAATCGAAGACATCCTGCCTCCACTGCCCTGCATTTTTGGGCTCCTCATCCTAACAGCCAGACAGGCCCCAGAATGGTTTTCCAGCTTCTGCCCCAGGAGAGATCCTTGAAAACCCCTTTCTCACTCCCTTCACCAGCAGGTTGGCACCACTGCTGCAAGAGACTTGGCCCACTACAGTTGAGGGCTTGGCGTTACCAAAAAGTTCTTCCACAGCCACAGGCAGCTTCTATGATAACAATTAAAAAACGCTGTCAAGTTGCAATGGACTTACAGCAATGATTCAAAGAGGTGAGCAGAGGTGGTTTGCCCTTGCCTGCCTCTGTGGAGCGACCCTGGGCTTCCTTGGCAGCCTCCCAGCCGAGTACGAAGCAGGGTCAGCCCAGCTAAGCTCCCCAGCTGTGATGCCACTAGGCCAGGCTGGGCTATTCAGGCTCATAGAGTTTCTATGATATAGGTGCAGTTATCTCTTCCAAATGTTCACTTTCCAAGCAACTGACCAGCACTGAAATCACAGAGGAAGAGAAGGAAATTGCTCTCTCTCTCTCTCTCTCCCCATGTGATAACTTCAGTTCAAACATTATCAAAGTGATATAAGAAGCTGCCTGTAATGTGACTTGCATTGGAGTTTCACAAGAAGAAACCCCCAAAGATACATGAACTGAAATCTAAATGAATGAAGTAGTCAACATTTTCCGGTACTTTAAACAAAATACAAATTGGGGAGGGACCGTGACTCAGTGGCAGAGCATCTGCTTGGTATGCTGAGAGTCTGGGGTTCAGTCTGTCAGCTAGGCCTCTGTCTAGCCCTGGCTGCCATGGGGGTGAGGTGAAGTTTCTGTTCTGCTGTGTCTTCTGTGTTTCTATTATCTCTGCTTGACCTTCAGTGCCTGGTGTAGTATTTCTTCTGGGAACCGAGGCCTGTTATTTCGTTGGGCTTCTACCTGACCCCTGATTGGCCCTGGTCAATCAGGAGGCCTCTTTGACTGAAGTATAACTGCTTGCTTCGCATGCTTTTATTTAGTTCTAACACGAAATGGTTATGATATCTGCATACTATCAATTGTCTCAATAAACTTTACTTTGAATGAAAGCTGTTGGTTGCTTACCTATAACTGATGATCTTTGAGTGGTAATCTGTGCAGTACCACACATAGGGTTGGGTGCCTGTGCACGACCTTGATCGGAGAACCTTCCAGAGCTTGCCTCAGAAACCTTTTTTGGCCCTGGGGAGCAGGCACGCACTGCGCATGCCTGGAGCGGGGGAGAGAGACTCCCACTCAGTTCCTTCGACTGTTACAGGAAAGTCCCATCAACTCAAGGTAAGTGAAGAGGAGATGCCAGCAGTGGGGAAGGCTGGGTGGGCGTGTGTGACTGCACAGATGACCACGCGAAGATCATCAGTTACAGGTGAGCAACCTGTTTATCTTCTTCATGGTCTCTGTGCAGTCCCACACACGGGTGACTAGAAGAGCTGAACCAGGTGGAGGAGGGAGCTGGCAGCTGGAAGAGACAATAAACAGGTTAGGACATAGCAGTACGATTTCAAAATACAGGTCCTACCTGAAGAAGCAGACACATCAGGCGAAGAGAGACTGGAGCACTGTCTGGCCAAATGCAGCATCCCGTCGAGCTTGAACGTCGAGTGCATAGTGGGACACAAAGGTTGATATCAAAGACCACGTAGCCATAGCACAGACGTCTTACAATGGGATACCGGTGAGGAAGGCTGTAGAAGTCGAAACTGCTCTTGTCGAGTGAGCAGAGATAGAAATGGGTGCGGGTTGGTTTGCCAACTCATAGCAAAGGGCTATGGTGGAGGCAACCCATTTTGACAGTCTTTGAGAAGAGACTGGTCCACCCTTGGACGGAGAGCCATAGGTGACAAAAAGCCTCGGAGACTTTCGAAAAGGCTTTGTTCAATGGAGATAAAAGGAGAGCACCCTCCGGACATCAAGGCAATGCAAGGCTCTCTGAGGTGCGTCAGCCGGGTTCGGAGAGAATGTGGTTAAAACAGAAGACTGAGATGAAAGGCAGAAACGACTTTAGGGAGAAAAGAGGGATCTGGCCGGAGAACTACCTTTTCCTTGTGGAAAATTGTATATGGGGGATCTGCACGCAAGGCAGAAAGTTCCCCTACCCAGCGAGCCGTAGTAATAGCAATTAAAAACGCCGTCTTCCACAAGAGGAGGCGAAGATCCATGGAAGCCATCGGCTCATAGGGCTTAGCCACAAGTTGCATCAAAACTAGAGACAAACTCCAGGAGGGCACGAGCGGCTTTCGAGGCAGGCAGAGACAAAGGAGCCCTTTAAGGAAAGACTTTGTCAGGCAGTGTGAAAAGACAGTAGAACCCTGTATTAAGGGGTGATATGCCAAAATGGCAACCTGGTGGACTCTTAGAGAAGAGTATGCAAGGCCTGATTCCTTCAAGGACACAATGTAGGAGAAAATCTCCCATAGAGAAGTGTGGGTCGGATCGAAGGAGTTTTGCAAGGCGTGAGATTGGAACCTGCGCCACTTCAGATGATAGGTATTGTGGGTAGTCGGTTTCCTTGCATTAAGCAACACATTTGACACTTCAGGTGGGAAGTCAACTGTAGGATCTTTCATGCCATCAGCCTGAAGAAGGCCGGGTTGTGGTGGAGGATCCGGCCTCAATCCCTGGACAGAAGATCTGGCACACGAGGGAGACGATGGAACCATCCATTGGAGGACCGGAGGAGGTGTGGGAACCACACTTGGCATCACCAAGGAGTGATGAGGATGCAGGAGGTGGCATTGGCCACAATCTTTTGAAGCACCCTGGAGATGAGAGGAAATGGGGGGAAGAAATAAAATAGGGTCCCTGTCTATTTGTGAAAGAATGGATCTCCCAGAGACTGGGCGGTCAGCGGACCATGGGTGAAGAACAGGCAACAGTGGGCAGTCTGCAAGGTGGCAAAGCCATCAACAGTCAGGTGGCCAAACTTGAGGAAGATTGGTCATAGATATCGGAGATGGAGGGACCATTCAGTTCTGCTTGTTGATGTAAAAAACAGCCGTGATGTTGTCGGAGGCAACACGGACAACCTTGCCTTGTATGATCAGGAGGAAGGACCTTAAGGCGAGATGTACCGCTCAAAACTCCAGGAGATTGATGTGGAGAGAGGTCTCTCGAGGGGACCAAGTTCCCTTGGCAGATAGCATCCCACATTGGGCTCCCCAACCCCAAAGGGATGCATCGGTGGTTAAGGAAATCTCTGGAGTCGGATGTCAAAAGGGCATACCGGCGAGGAGATGTTGCGGAAGAGACCACCACGACAGGGAGGTGAGGATATGCATCGGGATCGAAAGCTTCACGTGCCACGAACTCGACTGAGGATCGAAATCACGAAGGAACCAGAGTTGAAGGGGGCACATTCTGAGCCTGGCGTTCTGTATGACAAAGATAGTGAATGCAAAGTAGCCGAGGAGCCTCATGACCAACCGAGCGGATTGCTGGGGACATGTGGTGAAGGTGGACACCAGTGTGATTATATCCGAAGCCCTAG